CCCCTCTTGCTCTCTCTCTCACGATGGGGTTCACATTGCTTTTCATGGAAAGGAAATCATTTGGCCAATAGATCCTCCCACAAAGAGATTTTTTCCTCCAATAGAGGGAGACACTATGGTCACATTTTATCCAGTGCAATATTTCTTTCCTTTGGATGGAAGAACGCAGAAAACTTGAGGCTTGGGTGCACCTTTTGCTCTTTTCCTAAGAAGATATGCACCCCAGTGCTACCTTCCTCAGAGACAGAGCAAAATTCTGCAGTCTGCAGCTCCAAAGTTCTCTGATGGCTGTTTTTCAAAAGGCAACTCAATTGTATCATTTTTTTTTTTAAATTTTTTTATCACATTTCTCAAAGAAAGGCATGTTCTGTTTAAGAAGTCACTGAGTTTAATGTTCAGGGTATAAGCCCCTACTTATATGTACACCCCATATCACACCAAGGCTGGGAGTATGATAGCACAATTAGAATTAATTTAATGCTCTACTTATCAGCCAAAGAAATGTATTGTTTCCATGACACAAAATAATAAGTTTGGATGCCCCCTCCCCCCCACTACCAAACAATAGAAATAAGTGGTTTTCAGTTGCTCTGGGATGTGGAAGACACAGTTTTAGCTACCGACAACTAGTTAAACCACAGGCCGACCCTTAGAGCACAGAACTGAAGCTCAGGGGCAGCACAGAAGGGCTGGACATGGTGCTCAATGCAAACTAAAATAGAACTGACTGACTTTGGTCTTCTTCTGAAGGCTCAGATAATGAAATGTTAGCATCTTTCCTCTACTCCTGGTATCCCATGAATAAATTAAGGCTTCTTAAACAGAAAAAAGGGTGTTTGAAAAACCCTGGGAGCAAACCTCTATCTCTTGCTGTATTACTTAGATAACCTTTTCGAATTAAGTGGAAGCACAGTGTCTGACAGACTTGTGGGGAGAAAGTTCTGCTTCAGAATAAAAGCAGGAAAAGATTAAACAGTATATATGTAAAGTAGGAGATTTCTCTCTCTCCAAGCATCTATTACTTCTTCTTTTTTATTTAATTTAAGAAGGAAAAAAAAAAAGTCACGGAATAATTCACTCCCTACTCTACCCTCCAGGTGAACATCAGTGAACGAGCTACGCATTTCCTGTCTGTGGCCAGGAGCACCTAGGGCACGGCCAGTCCCAGGACGACTCACAGAGCAGATCCACTCCAAACTGATGTTGAGCCACGTGCTCAAAGATGGACGTCAGGATGGGGAGCAGAGCCACCGTGGTGTAGTTGATATTCTGAGAAACACCTTTAATCTGCGTTCTCGAATGCGTAAACTTCCCCAGCTTCAGGTTTTCTGAAGTCTTCTCTAAGTCTTCTGCTGCATTTTCAAAGAAAGCTCGTAATCCTGCCTTCACCAGCTCGGAACCTGACTTCATGACAGTCCTGCAAGCAAACAACATTCAGAACCAGAAGCATATCCAAGCTTCTGGCTAACCCCCTTCTTGAAATGATGACTTGCTGTGCAACCTGGGCAGACATCTGACACTGCAGTCAACCAACAGCACTGTTCCAGGAGAAATACAGAGAATGGTTAATATCCAGGAAGAAGCCTGCTTCATAACACCCCAAAGAAGCTATTGGCTGGGCTATGTGCTCAGTTCTTCAGGAAATTCGGAGGATGATTTAGAATGAAAGGAATGTTGGTCCCCTGCAATCTATAGGATATTGCAACTGGATACCGTCTTCTGCAAATAAATCAAAAGGTTCGGGAAGTGAGCTTTCTTGCAGTTCATTGTGGGATAAGCAACTTCAGTAAGGATTAATTAGAAACATGAACTCTTCTGATACAGGATTTTTAGAGAGCGAGAGAGCAAGAGAGTAAGGAAATAAGCCAACAGAAGCTTAAATTTCTATTAATTTACAGGGTTGGACGAGGGAAGAGAACAGGGACATCTAGCCCTTTTAAAATGGACAGTTTAATCAGACCACTACAAGAAACAACATTGAAATGTGCTCTGAAGAAACAGAGATTAACCACGAACATCTGAGGCCTTCCTACAAAGCAAGTTTATAAAAATTAGAGTGAGAGAGAACCTGCAGGTGGCGTGGTGGTTAAAGGTGTTGGACTCCCACATGGCCAACTGTGGTCTGAGTCCCGGCCCTGGCAGCTTGCTTTCTCACTTTCCCTCTCTCTCTTTCTGTCCTTCTCTGGTCAAATTAAAATAAATAAATAAATAAATAAATAATAAAGTTAAATAACAAGTACAATCTTTTAAAAAATCAGAATTAGAATAAAACCTATAAGTCATCTATAATTTTCAGTATTTCTAAATCTTACTTAGAAGATTATGATAGTCTTGCTTTAAGGACAAATGCTTTTCACCTACAGTTTTGTCCCGATAATTATTCAACCCACCAGGGGAAAAACAAAAACAAAAACAACAAAAGCAAAGAAATAAAGTTAGTGAGGGCTTCTTCTATTCGAAGAACTCATGAGTTATCTTTCTAACCTTTTAGTTGCACGTTTTGCCAGGAATGATTACCAAACACACTGACCTGTACTTTTAGTACAATAGACTCTTTTCTAAGGCTTTCCCACATCTTATTCCTCATCCCAGTTTCAAGGGAATTTGGTCACTGTGGTTTGATACTGCAGGCTCCAGAATGGTGCTATCCTGGTATCGCCCTAACATGTTGTTTTCTCGAGAACCCTAAAATACCTTTCTATAGATTAAAAAAAAAAAAAGCTGTTCTTCATTCCTTGGATTTTCACCTTTGGGCCACTCTTTTAGGTTGGCATCCCCCTTTTGCATCAGGCCTTGGGAGGTGCATCCTCCTCCCAACTATGTCATGGACCCTTAAAGAGCGTGTGCAAGAAAGCTCCCTATTGGTTTTTGTCACTACTTCTCTCTCTGTTAATATCATCACTTATATTACTATTACAGTATGTGTGTGTGTGTGTGTGTGTGTGTGTGTGTGTATCTATCTATCTATCTATAAATATGTAAAGATATGTAAATAAAACATAAATAAAATTAAAATTTCCTTTCCAGTTTGCTGTCTTTACTCCTAGGTCCATAGGCTCAAGCCTATCTTTGTCGCTGATCTTTGTGAAACCAGATCCTCCTTCCCTGGTCTTTTTGATTTCAGAGTGATATGGTTGATCTCAGTCAGGGAGCTCATGGCCTCACCACCCATCAGGCTACTCTTCCTTTCTAACAAAGAATTAGGTACAAAGTGGCACTCTACTACATATTTTATTTTTCTGAGAGATGAAGTTCTCAGTTATCAAAGACAAGAATTGGGGACCAGCAGTTAGCATAATGGCTATGTCGCTAGACTCCCATGTAGTCGGCTGTGGTTTGCGTCCTGGACCCCGTAGCTTAAAACTCACGCTGGGCGCGTGTGCGTGCATGTCCAAGATCCTGAGAGGAGAATGAAGGAGAAGGGATTGCGGCGTGGCCATCCCCCCTGGGAGTGTGATTTCTTGCTTTCTGTCTCTCTGTCTCTCTCATGTGTCTGGCGAGTGCACGGGCCCTATAGCAAACAAACAAACAAACAAACAAAAAACCAAAAAAACAAAAACTAAAACAAAAAAACTCTTCAAAGAAAAGAAATGATAAAGAAAAAAAAAAGACAAGAATTGGTCCAATGTTCATTCCTCAGTGCCCAGTACATGCCGTGACAGAGGCTCTATATCACGTGGACTGAGACAGACAGTGCTAACCCCCAGGATCAGATTCATCATTGCCCTCGCTCCCCTCTCCTCCCAGCTTCTGCAGAGCAGTGACTCTTCTCTTCTGCACAGTAATGAGTGAGAGGGCAGGTCAGAGAGGGAGTCTTGACCCAGGGAAAACTGTGGAAACTGGGAAAACCTAGGTGGACTTACCTTGTGTCAAGGGTCTGAGCTAAGATGTGAAGACAGCTCACCATTGTAGTAGAATCGCTCCCTAGAATAAAAACGCATCACCTGTGACACCCCAAACCACTCGGCCTATCTCGAAATGTAATCTTCTCAACATGCACAGATTACAGCCCAGAATAAGTCACCACCAACACACAAAGTGCCAGGCCTGTGCCCAGGGAAAACGCATTTACCGCGAGCCTGACACCAGCCTCAGCTTTATGATGGATGTCAGAGGCAGAGCTTAAAACGTTCATTGGTGTGGAAAATCTGAGCTGTTAAAGGGGTAGGGAGGTCATTTATCATGCTTCAAACCAATTTTCCATGGTAAATTTACGTAACACCTTAGCCCCAAGGCCCAGGTTGTCTGAGAGAACCATAAATAAACCAAAACTCAAGTTCAGAATAATCACGGGGAGGAGAGAGTGTGGTCTTTGCAACACTTCTCTTCACTTACCAAAGAGGGAAATCCTGTGTCTAACAAGAGCAGCGAGTTTGCAGAACAGGCTGAAGCAGAAAAGAACACAATTTCTAAAGTCATAAATTCAAGGATACATTGTACCCCTCTTCCCTGTCTCTCATGCTGTAAAACAGAGATTGGTACTCTAGGAAGACGAGCTGTGTTCTTCACAAAGAATCCTTTGGACACGCTTAGGAAAATGTGCGGTTCACACTGTCTTGGAGAATCATGAAAGATTGTAGGCAGCTCTGTCGTTATTGAGAACAATCCTTCTGCATCAGGTACAGCATTTTGCAGTGACCTGGTGCAAACTGTCCTTTGTTATAGTCCATTGTATGTTGAAATGTTCACGTATATGACACTCGGGAATTAAGTGTACTGAAAGGAAACATGAGTTTTTCCACTGTTGCAATGGATTACAAACCATCTGTTTAACCTTCAACCAAGGTGTGAAGCTTTAGTTAGGAGGTGGGCCAGAAGCAGGGGCTGGAAAAATGTTAATGGTTCAGGTACATGTGTTCAATAAAAATAATTTTTTTTAAAGAATTTATTTTCTCTGTCATCTCCCATTGTCTGTGAACCTGATCAGGTTGGGTCCTGACCCTAGTTGGGTCCCTGGAAACTAGGAAAGCCTACATGGTATGTTTTTGTGTCTTTTACTTTTTATTAAAATAATTTTTTTAGCTTTTGCTATCAGGTACATGCACTTAGTGGAGAGAGACTGAGTGAGAGAGAAAGTGAGAAAGCATTCCCCAGAGGGGAGATGACCACACTGAAATCCCTTCGCCTCCACTTTCTTCTCATAATTTGTGGGCATGCAGTCACATGCACCCTTCATTTTTTTCAAGTCACTGGGTCTGGGACTAGAACCATGCAGTGAGCCATGTGGGATCCAACTGCCTTAACCACCATGCCACTGGCTGGCTCATACATATTTCCACTGTGGAACTCCTTGAAGGCTTAGCCATATCTCACTGTTCATCTTTCCACAGCGCCCAACAAGGGCCGCATTCAGTTAGAAAGGAGCCCCATAAATGTTACTGAACATGCTGCTGACAGGCTCTATCTAGGGGCAGGTTGGCCCTCTGACCTGTGCTGCTCATGTTCTCAGAGGGGTTTCCTCAGAACACCAACACTGACACAAGCGGCACTGACCCAGCTAGATGAGAAATCTGAGAACTTATAGGATGCAGTGTAACATAAAGAGGGGAAAGTAGGGGAAAAAAACACCTGCCCAGGCCATGGGTTTCCATGGTGAGACTGAGCTGAAGTCATTCCAAGTCTCTCATTCATAACTTGTCATAGGGTTCCTGCCCCACGCGGGGTGGAAGTCTTCCATGGGATGACTCAAATGGAGAAGACAGATATCTTGAGTATTAGTAGAGAGGAAAACTTGTTCACTTTTAAATGGTTTTCATTAAGACCATTAAATGGGTCTTTCTGAGCTGTCTAGTGGAAAATTACAGCCAAGGTCCCATGTGGCATTTATGGGACAAAGAAATGGGTTATTATCTGTGGAAGATAACATGTATAGTATACTTAATTGGGCTGGTGAGAAATGTATACATGTTGGAATATTTGCTTTACAAGCTAAGTGGCATATGTGACTGAATGTATAAAAGAAATTGAAATAAAAATATATTAAAAAACAAACAAAAAAGAAAAACAAAGTCCCATATGGTTAGTCATTTGTTTTTTTCAGTGGAATAAGTTAGAATCCCTGGCCCAGAGCTTGAGAGAACTCTTAGTAAGTTAGAAATCTGGCAGCCAACTCAGGTGAAATTAAATATAGGATGGCTTCTTATTTTCTCTTCCCACGGCATTCTCCCCTTCTTCCTCCCATCCCTCGAGAGATGTAGGTGATAGAAACTCATAGAATTGGGGATGGGAACAACCTGAGGAACACGGGTTCTTTGGCTCTGCCTGTGGTTAGCTGGGTTGTCTTGCTGAAGCCCCGGAACTGCTGTGTGCATTAGCTTTCTCATTGTAACTAAACGGTAATCATATGACTCTCTTAGGCTTCAGAATTAGGAGTGGATAAACTCAGATATTTCTGGTGAAAATGTTTCAAAGTGGACACACACTCTGTATAAAAACATAACTATGTTTTTCAAAGTAAAGCAGAGGGTTGGGTTGTTTGATCCTGATACTATCATGACTCCTCACTGTCAGAAGTGATTTTTCAGGCATGCCAAAACCAGGGCTTGAGATTCCCAAAGGCTCCTCCCTGTCCCCTGTGGAGACCATGACGTAGGTGGAGCACTGTCCTTAGCCTGGAGGAAGAAGAGGCCAGAGTCCCACAGTGCCTCCTCTCAGCCCAGAGTTTGAAGGCAGTAAAGTAAAGAGTTCTCAGGGAAGGGAATGGGCCCCCTGGGTGAATGGCATCAGCTGCAGAAGAGGGAGGGCAGGAGCAAAGGATGAGAAGCAGAGGAGTCTGGCAATGTGAACATGTTCAGCGCAAACACGACTGCTATGGGAGGGCAGCCAGCACGCTCATGGACTTGAAAGCTGTTTGCAAGGCTGATCAGCTCTATGTTGTATTCCAGCCATGACAAATGGTGCCTGGTAGAACAAATGTTACATTTCCATGAATTAATAATCTAAGAAAAACAGATGAAGAAAACAGACACACCTGCCCTCTGTTGGATTTTCTGAATATCTCACTTTGCCCCTCATTTCTCTAGCTTTTTATTTTTTAAAGAATTATTTAATTTTATTTGTTATTATTATTATTTTAATATGAGCAGAGAGAGAGAGAGAGAGAGAGAGAGCAAGAAAGCAAGCCACCAGGTCCAGGACTCAATCTGTGGTCAGCCATGTGGGAGTCCAGTGCCTTAACAACCAAGCCACCTGCTAGGCGCTCCCTAGCTTTTTCTAAAGTATACTGGTACATTCTGAAAATGTTAGGAAATCTTTGGCCAGTACTTGATTCTAAGGATATCTGATTTTTTTTTTTAAAGAAATTTTTGCTATAAGGCCATGCTCATCAGAGAGATAAGGAGAAAGAGACAAAGTGAGAAATTACCCTCCCCCTGTCCCGAGGGGATGGCCATGCTGCAATCTCTTCTCCATTCTCCTCTTGGGACTTTGGGCACACATGCATATGCCGGTTCCAGGACTCGAACCCATGGTGGGCCATGTGGGAGTCAAGCGCCTTAATCACTATGCCACTTTCTGGCCTGAGTATTTGATTTTAATAGCACATAGCTTATCCTGTTTTAAGTGAAAGTACATAATCATGGTGCAGAAAAAATGCATAGAGAGAATTGAACTTTCATTCCTGTCCTAATTTACTACGTGTGTCACCCTTGGGCCATAAAGTGAACCTGACTGAACTTCAGTTTCTTCATCTGAAAAATAGAGATAATAATACACAGATAATTTTTACCATTTAAAAGCTCTGCATTGTGGGACCAGCAGTTAGCGTAATGGTTATGTCGCTGGACTCCCATATAGTCAACTGCGTTTCACATCTTGGACCCGGTGGCTTAAAACTCACGCCGGGCGCATGTGCATGCGTGCCCAAGATCCCGAGAGGAGAATTGAGGAGAAGGAATTGCGGCATGGCCATCCCCCCTGGGGGGTGATTTCTCGCTTTCTATCTCTCTGTCTCTCTCTGTCTGTCTGACAAGCACACGCGCCCTATAGCGAAAACCTCTCCAAAACAAAAACAAAAACAAAAACAAAAACAAACAAACTCTGCATTGTTTCACAATGATCCTTATGCAAATGAGCAATACCTTTTATGTATAAAAAAATTACTATCAATGCTTGGTCATGGTACATGTTTAATAAATGTTAGCTAAATCCTAAAATTGAGCATCCTCCTAAAATGGTAATGGTGATATGAAGTATCATGTACATGTGCCCAGTAGATGGCGTGGTGGTTAAGTGCTGGATTCCCACATGGCAAAGTATGGCTTAAGTCCCAGACCTGGTGACTTAAAAATCATACCAGGCACATGTGTGTGCCTGCTCAAAATCCTGAGAGAAGAATGGAGAAGGGATGCAGCAGTGTGGCCATTTTCTGTGTGTGTGTGTGTGTGTGTATACGCACGTGTGTGTGTGTGTGTGATTTCTTACTTTCCCTCTCTTTATCTTTCTCTGGTGAGCACATGTACCCTGAAAACCCTTTAGGTTTATGGCATCAACTTAAAAAATAGTATAATGTACACTATTTACTGTGAATGGATGCTAGGAAAGAGTTGCTAGACTATTTTTTATTGGGATCCTTAAGACTTTGCTATCTAGCAGTCTAATCCATTCTTGTCCGTCTTAATCAAATACAGAGAGAACCCATTCATGGTGGAAGCCATCTCTCAGTACTACCATGGGACATCCTTTGTGTTCTTCTCTCTGTTTAAGGACCCACATGTTCTCCCAATGGGGTGAGTAGGGAGGCTGGCCGTTCTGATAAAAAGATTTTTCCTCTTAGGAATTTAAATGGATCTATGTTTCTTTAGATTTCAAATTTCAGATCATCTATCCTAGGACTCAAAGATCTGCTTCTTTCAAAAATATTTTGTTTTGTAACAAATGACTGCAACAGGACTGAAAGGCTCCACTGTTTCTTCCCAATACTGTGTGTGTGCTTTTCCCAAGCTTCGGAGTCTTCTCTGCAGTCTTCAAAATGGGTGTTTTGGGACAGAGGTTGATTTGAGTAAGTAAATCTTTCCACTGCTTTTTATACATTCCTATTGATACTCCCAAACAGTGACTCTTTCTTAGTTGTTGAAGTAATAACGACATATAAATAAAATTTCTTCCAAAAACAAGACGATAACCACACCTCTGCACTACCAATCACCAGGCTATCTTCATTTCTCTACAAGACTCATCAGTTAGTTCTCTGGAATTGTAAACAAATCACATCAGCACCATGACCTCTTAATTTTGCAGACTCACCTGGCCACCATTTCTTTCTCTTTATGGGAAGCATATCCACTGCTACTGAGGGGCTTCAGAGGGGATGACAGGAAGTAGAGGCGGTGATTGGTGAAGTACTGGTCAACCAGTGGGAGAAGAACCTGAAAACCCCACATAAATCAACTTCTAGGAATTTAGTCAGAGCTCTTCCTTTTAACAATGTCAGTCTCAGAGAACAAAAAGTCTGAATATCTCCTGGAATTTCCAGGAGATTCTACCCAGTCTCCATCATATTTTCCTCTTCTAGGCCTCAAATCAAAGGACTCAGGAATATATGAAAAGAGAGGGACATCCATTAAAGGTTCAAAGCTGTGAGCATGCAGCACTTGCAGGGGAGTCCTATGGGTTGGTTACACTCAGGTGTGGGTCCTTGGGCATGGATCCAACAGGTGTACTTGAAGCATGACCCTGCACTCCGAGCCTCAAGCGTTCTGTCCCTGCTTCTCAGACCAAGGCTATTCAAGGCCTTTTACACTATTAGTCTTCTGAGTGGGGCTGATTGAAGAGGTAGCTCAGAGTCATCCAAATTCAATCTCCCATTTTCCTTTCCCATTTTTCACCAGTAGGATCTTCTATGCTATAGTAGGGCAGAGCTATAGTGCATCACCTAGACTCCCTTGCAGCTAGATGAAGCTAAAATGACTATTGTAGCTTTTAGGATAGAAGAAGTGTGCTCTCCCATTTCCTTTTTTTCCTCCCACAGATGTAGTGTAGGTAATCCTGCTAAAACCACACCTCTGAAGGTGATGGAACAATGAGAGAGGAAGCACTGGGTCTACCTGTGATGGCACAAAGCCAGGTAGGCCACCTGCCTCCGTGGACTGCCCACTGACCTCAGGACTAGCCCGTAACAGAGACATGTGCACCTGTCTCACTGAAGCCATTGGCATTTCAGACATCTTTGTTGAATCAGCTTAACTTATACTCTAAATAGTAGAAATAATTAAAAATAAAGTAAGTTCATTAAATGCAGATAGTCACTTACTTTGGCAAAGAACTTGATCTCCTGGTCATGGGGAGACTTTTCAGTTTTCCCACTGCTGACAATGGCTTCTACAAAAATATGGGCAATACAAAGTAGAACAGAGTTAAAACATGAAAAGCAATAACACCACTTTAGAAACTAAGTGGCCTTTCAAAAGGCCATAAAAAAGGCTATTTTATTTCACAAAATATATTCTACAAAGTGCTTTACAATTGTGCTGGTTAGTCACTTCTTGTGCCAATTCTATGAGCTGTTTCACTACCCTTTTCTCTACTTTACCAATGTGAAAGCAGATTCAGAGGATGAGCCATATAAAAAAAATGGCAAAAGGTTCAATCAAATCTAGTAGGAATGCTAAGGACTAAATCAATTTCTGGTTTTGAAGCAGAGGGGAAAAAAATCTCAGCGACTGCTTCTCCTTAAGATCATAGGTCTAAATAAATCATTACCGTTTACAGTGTAAAAGGATCATTCCTTAATAAAGGAATACGAAACCGCTTTTTGGTGGTCTTTCACAATGATACTTACCCAAGTGGGCAATAAACTCTTGAGCAGAATCAACATATTTCAGGATCTTCTTCAAAAACTTATAGGCGAACCTCTTTTCCATGGAGGAGGCATCCAGCTCCATATCCTTCACTCCTCTAGGCGAGATGGGTAAACAGTAAAGAGATAACTAGGCAGTGCCGAGGCATCACCAGTCCTACCAGGATTGAACTTTATATCCTAGTGTTAATGGTTCCTCTGGCTTACTGATATCACTCATCACTTGACCAATGCCCCCTTGCACTTGAAACCAGACTATGACCATGTAATATTTTATTTCTTCAGAAAGATCTTTTATGTAAGACATATATCGAGCTAAGATAAAACTTTATTACAATTATTTCTTCAGAAAGATCTTTATCATTTATGTAAGACATATATCGAGCTAAGATAAAGTCAGAGAAGAAAAACAAAAAAAAATTCTCTGCATTTATGGAATTCACATAAAGTCATAGAAGAAAAACAAAAAAAATTCTCTGCATTTATGGAATTCACATAACTGTAAACAGATGGAAACAACTTTGTAAAAAGAAAGAAAGAAACACAAAAGCAGGATGAAAAGGGGAAGTGAGGTTTGCGGGCTGAAGTGGGAAAGTGAGGGTCTGCAGGCTGTAGTGTTAAACAGGGTAGCCAGGGCAGGTCTTAGAGGGAGACTGATATTGCAGAAAAGGCTTGGAGGAGGTGAGGCACGTGGACATCTACGGAAACAGCTTTCCAAGGCATCGAGAGGAAAAAGGGCAAAGCTCTCAAGGCAGGAGCATACGTGCGGAGTTGCAGGACGGTGGCAGAGGGGCCAGTGTGGGTAGGATGGAAATGAGCAGGCAGGCAGGGCTGTGGGGTGAGCAGTGGAGCAAGTCATTCGGAGCCCTTCCAACTGTCCTTAGAACTTCGCTGATGCTCTGAGCTGGGGGAGCTACTGGAAGTACTGAGCACGCTAACACAATAGAACTAACATCATAACCAAATCAGTCTGGTAGCTATATTTGGTAATGGGTAGGGAGGTGGGAAAGGGCAAAAACAGGGACTCAGGTAGGAGGCTACTTCAGCAATGATGTGGACAGCATGGAAGTGGTAGGAATCAGTCAGATTACATATAGATAGATATAGATATATAGATATATCGATCCATCAATAGACAGATTTTTTTTAAGAGAAATTTTTATTATAGCATGTGTGTGCTCACCAGAGACAGAAATCAAGAAATCACCCCCCCCAGGGTGATAGCCACACCCCAGTCTCTTCTCCTCTCAGGATCTTGGGCATAGATACACATGTGCCTGAAGTGAGTTTTAAGCTGTTGGGTCCAGGACTTGAACTATGGTCAACTATGTGGGAATCCAGCAACGTAACCATTATGCCATCTGCTGGTCTCTCTGGGTATATTATAAAGATAGCACCATTAGGATTTCCTGAAGGATTGGATGTGGGTTGAGAGGAAAAGAGAAGAGTCAAGGTTTTCGGATTGAGTGAGCAACTAGAACAGGCTGTCAGCAGGGACGGGGC